TTTGCCTGATAGGAATGTATTTTATGACTAAACACTTGCCATTTTCTAGTAAAAACTGCCAAAGAAAGAGGGGGCCTCTGAAGATAACTAGATACAATCCTCTTTATTTCAGTTGTCCACATGACTGTTGATCACCCTATCCCCAAATCCTTATCTAAGTTAATGTGGATTTACATGTGGTTTTGAGTTGTATGTGTCGTATTTCTTAATTCCCTCACAGAGATCCTGGACTTTGTGGAGGGAGGAGGAGGACAAGGAGGAGGAGGAGAAGGAGAAGGAGAAGGAGAAGGAGGAGAAGGAGGAAGAGGAGGAGAAGGAGGAACATTTCATGAAGAGGGAAGTTCCAGATTATCCAGCTCTATTAATATCAAAAGTGGGAAATTTGGAAGACCAGCAGAAGTAACTCCTCCTTCCTTCCCTTGGATGTCAGATCTTTTTCACTGCTGGCTATAGCAGCTCTTAATAGAAGAAAATATTTGTAGTTCAGGGTTGAATTATTGGGTCCCTGGTGCTCTCTGAGCTTGGTTATTTTCTTGCAGATGTTTCATTACCCAATAAGGTACTATCATCAGTGCACTGATGATGTAACCTAGTTTGGTAATGAAACGTTTGCCAGAAAACAACAGAGCTCAGAGAACATCAAAGACCCCACATAGTAGCGCTCATAATCTCTTTTACCAAATTGGGAAGAATTAAAGCAAGAGTCAACTGCAAAAGCTCTGGTTTCAGGGGTTGATGGACGGGAAGTTCAAAGCCACAATCCAGAGAACAATGCAACCTGGTTTTCATGTGAGCAATAGGATCGTGTTGGTTTTCTGCTGTGTTGCTACTACTAGCCACAGTTGGGATTGCAAAAGCAGTTTGTGATGTGGCCTGCTGTTCATGGAATTGTTTCTGGGCAGAGTGCAGAATTCTGGATGCACCTCAAGTTTGTGGCCAATCCATTGAGTAACATAATCACAACCTTGGTGCATTAAAACATAAGAGATAGGCAGACTCTTCCCTCCAGAATACTTTTTTTTTAAAACCACATTCCATTATTAGACACGACACATTTCAAATGCGCGTAAATTTACAGAAATTGCATTTTATAGAAAATATGATACAATGAAATATAAAATGCACAAGGAGCATTTTCAAAGTCTCTAGACAAAGGAGCTTGCATTCTAGTACGATCTCTTAACAACCTTTTGAAATATTTATTTGCACTCATTCCTTCCCCCCCTCAGTGCCAAATGAGAATCTTTTTTTTTTTTTTTAATATTGACAAAAAAAGTGAGTGTCGGGGGGAAGAAGGTCAGCCCTTTCCCCCCACGGATCATCAAAACAATTTCTCCAAAATTGTGCTCCCTCTTGGATTTGAAGCAAATAATATCTAATCCATCCTTCATTGGCTTCCTCTTCAATCTGCTGCAGACCTTTTTGTCCATTATCATAAGTAATCCAAGATTTGATAGCACAATTAAGTGGCTCAATCTCCATTAAATGTGGTTTTTACATTACACATCCATGCAATCTAAATAATTGTACAAACATTAGACATAAACCACGTTAAGTCCAAATCATTAAAGGGGAGGAAAAAAAACACAGTTTTGAGAGAGAGAGGAAAAACTGCAGAAGTGTAATTTTTTTTTTTTTTGTAAATACAGACCCTACGTACACATTGGGTAGCATGCTACCCTTGATAACAGTGAGGTTCTATCAGAATGCAGCAAATAAGTCTGGCTTAATTGTCAACATTTAAGCACATTAATCACAAGGTCCCCATTGACATACCTGCCTTTTCTTATCCCATAATAGCCTTTGATCACAGATAGAAATACCACTCATCAGGAAGTGCCATCATTAATTGGTAGGTTTGGCTCATAATATTCAAGATATACCCATGGGATAGTTAATGAATCTCTAGACATTTTTTTTTTAAAAAAAGAAACCAGTTATTATTATTTTTAAAAATAAAGATGTTGTGCCTACATGTTTACGTAGAGAGAAAAATTGCACGTGTTCTAAAAAATAGAGATAAATGACCTCTCAAGGTTTCATCTCCATTCGGGGTTCTACATGAAATGCTGTTTAATGTAGTCATTTGTGGGCAAAGGGAATTTATGGCAAACACGCTTCTGGCCCTCATTTTTTTCCCCCCCCAGAAAATAAAACCGCTTTTCCAAATATGGAGCATTTCTTTCTACAGAAAAGAAACCGAGTGTGGGGGAATTACCCAAGCTGACGGTTCTTAAAATATGAGCTCGGTACTTCTAAAGAAGACCAATTCTTGGCTGGGGGGGGGGGAAGAATCTTTTCTCCATTTGCATCCGTTAAGGTGGTGTGAGACTGTTGTGACTGAAGGTACAATTGCAAATTCTTGTACAAAAAACTTTCCCAACATTTTCCTTAGGAAACGTTTACCTGACAAAGCCAAAGCCTGCCCCAACAATTAGCTATACGCAAAATAGGTGAACGATCACTAACCGAGACCTCAGAAATCTACCTGAGGTTGTATATCCCATATCAAACATTTCTGAGGATCAAAGAGACCATCTTTTTCTGAATTACAGTCACTTATCTCATGCTTTTATTTATTTTCTAGCTCCTCTCCTAGCTGTGGGCAAGGCAATCTACGAAACGGTGCAACGTTATTTGTCTTAGGCCTACTCTGTCGATTAATTTTTGATGCAGCGGTTTTTAACAAAGTGATTTTGCCTGTTGCTTTTCTATCAGAAATCATCTGTTCAGATCTGATTAGATCTGATGTTTGCCACAGTCTGGAAACATTACTTTAGCTGTGTTGCATTCAGGAACAACATTCATGGCATGAGAAACGACTACTGGACGTAATTTTGTTACGTATGCAAAAAATAATTAATATTGAACCGGGATTGACCTGACTTTCCAAGCAGGTTAACAGATTGTTTGAAATGGTTATGATTTTATAAGTAGCAGTGGGCAATTCAAAAAATGAAGATTCTTGCAGAATTTTATGATATTCGCGGCTTAAGTCAAACACATGTAAACATTTCTAAAGTGAGTCCTGACTTGAATTACACTTTGGGAAATATGGACAATTTGAAAATCAAGTATCAAACAATAACTTTGTTGTTGTTTTACAAGGAAGTAACCCATTAAGAAATGGTCAGATAAATCTAGCTATTTGATTAGTCTTTATATGCTATTGATTTGCATGTGCTTTTCAGTTGAAATCATTTGTTTTTCTTCCCTAATATCAGAGGCTCATAGACAAATTTACTTCGATAACCGTTGTCTGCTGTTTAATAGCACGGAAATTCACATATTGATTCAGGCTAGAGGCCTATCTAGTCTGATTTATTTAAAAAAAAAATCAAAAGAAGAAAAAAAATCCTTCCAAGAATAAATATTGTAACACCAATAAGATAATGTTCTTTGTTAACGGGTTTTTTTCCCTACTGATGCAATGGCATTCAAAGTATTTTAAGGACTATTGGTCCCACAAGCTAGTCCATGGCATTGTTTTATTTTTTTTTTTCAATTCATTTTATAATTCTTCAAAACAAGGCAGCTCAAATATTTGGCCAAATTCTCTGGCCTTCAATCATCCATTAATATAATAATGGAGTTAGATTTGTTTGTTTATTTGTTTGTGCTTTGCCATGCTCATTTTCTGTGATGCAATAGGAAGGTGATTTTTGTGGCCAAAAAGAAAACAAGTCTACAAAACCGATGCTCTGTGTTAACACAACCTAGGAGGGAAAACACCAACTAGAACCCACACTGTAATATTCAGAGAATCATATGTGGCCAAAATAAATTGTGCTGCCTTCCTCCACATTTTAATCTCCGATGACCAAGCTGGTTAATCGGAAATCACTTCTCCAGATGCTTACAGTTCTGTACATCAAAGAATTCCACCAGATTCCCACATCCTACTCATTGCAACAAACATCGATTAGCAATACATAACTCCACCATGAACTCAGCAGAAGAAAAAAGTCTTTTTTTTTTTTTTTTTTTGAAAAAAGAATGAAAAGGAAATTGAAAAGAAAGACAAAAGTTACACTTTGGTCTTCGGATCATTTACTGTAAAGTTTAGGTAAGAGCGTCACCTTGTATTTCTCCAAGGCTTTTCAATGCTATAATTCTATGCAGCTACATCACATGTGGCCAAGTCACAAGAGAAAACCCAATTCAATATTTTGCATCAGATAAACAATGAATGATATATACAACAGGTTGACTGAGTTCACCATTTCTTTTAGGCCAAAAAGATTTCTAAGTTTGGTTTCCTCTCTTGTATCCTAACATCACATTTCTTTTGTTATTCCCCACCCACAAACAATTCTCCTGGTTTTTTTTTTCCTCTTTTAGAATAAAGCCCCAAAAGATAAACCATACCATTGTTCCTGGTGTTTTGTTTTGTTAATTCCTTAATTCCTTCCAAGCTAGAACTGGCTTAGGGTTACAGAGTGTGGTGTCCAAGACACGGTGGAAACGTAAATTGTTTGTTTCTTTTTGAACACTCCTGAGATTGAGGGAATCTGATACATGTACCAAAAGGCACTTTCAAATATATATATCTATATATATATTTTAAAAACAGTGCTTCTGTTCTAAGAAATTCAAGTTAAGACAGAGTGCCTTTCACTCCCTTTAGTCATAAAGTGGTTAAAACAAGCAAGATCCCTGCTGACACATGAGGGAGGGGGAACAATTAAAATAAAAAAAGGCAGCAGAGACACGTGTTCATGCTAGACAGCTCAATGTTCTTAAAAAAAAAGAAGAAGAAAAAGAAGAAAGAAAGGGGGAAAGAAAAGAAAGAAACAACAGCAAAAGAAACGTTCTAAGTCACCACTAAAAAGAATACAGTCGGCCGAAGGTATTAATTAAAAAAGCTGCCTCTTTGAACAGATCTTGATTCCTCTTCTGCTTTCGCTCTCTCTTTTTTTTTTGTTTTTTTTTTGTTTAATTTGTTTTTGTTTTTACTCCTTTCTTCTTCTTCTTCTTTCATCCACCTTGGGTTGCTCTCTTTCTCTCCATCCTCTTCTTCTAAATGCTATATCTTTCCTCTTTTTGCAAAACAAGAAAAGTGAGGTCATTTTAATCATCCTCGCCACCCCCATACATGTCCGCCAGTTTCTTGAACCTCGGTCCCCAGTCATTAAGGTAGTCGTAATCTTGGTCTCCAGAGCTTGAGGAGTTAAGTGAGCTTACCGATCCTGCTGTTGAACCACTTCCTTCATAGTCAAAGACGAGAAGGGAGTCGTAGGGAGGGGCTGTTGGGTCATTGTCAGCTGCTCTGAGGCCCTGGAATATTTAAGAAAGATGATGCTGTAAAAAAAGTTACTTGTGAGGAAAACCTACTGAACACAATGAGGCTTATTTTGCTTATTAGGCTTATTAGGAGCTTATTAGGAGCTGTGGAGGTGCTTCTCTCAGGGGTAGGCAACCTTGGCTCTTTTATGACTCGTGGACTTCAACTCCCAGAATTCCTGAGCCAGCATGGCTCAGCTTGGAAACCTCTCCCTTTCCCCTCAGCATGGCTGGCTCGGGAAATCTGGGAGTTGAAGTCCACGAGTCATAAAAGAGCCAAGGTTGCCTATGCCGTACTGCAGGCTAATTCTACTGAGTGCCGTCTGCCAGCACTTCGGTAGTTTGATCCTGACCGGCTTAAGTTTGACTCAGCCTTCCATCCTTCCGAGGTCGGTAAAATGAGGACCCAGATTGTTGGGGGCGATAGGTTGGCTCAGTAAACCGTTTAGAGAGGGCTGTACAAAGCAATGTGAAGCGGTATATAAATCTAAGTGCTATTGCTATTTCTGGCTAAGCACACGGCACTAACAATCAAACTGCATTTTTCTGAAATTTCTATTCAATTAAAGCTGCAAATTATATATGCAGAATTAGACTTGTGCCACTAAAACTGAAGCTCGTTTAATGAAAGGTGAATTTATCTGATTTCAGGAACTTCTTTTTGACCTCTCTCTCATCTATTTTTGGATTCACAGGTGCAACCACGATTGTAATGTATAAGATTCTGCAATAAATTTGTTTAAAAAAAAAATCCCAGAAAAAAGATTAACTCCTTGTTTGCAAGCGAGTGGCACTAAGAATCAGTATGTATAGGAGATTGTCGGTGGAAACAGTGGCATCTGTTGAGGGGGGGGGGAATTCAAAAAGTCAAGACGGAGGTCACAATAATGTGATTAAGTGGTATATAAAATGCTTGACTCTGTGGTTGTGACCGTCGTGCCTCACAGATCTCTCTGGGATAAAATATGAACGGACTCATTGTATTTGGTTTTCATACTGGTTCTAAGTTAGAGTTTAGTGACCTAACATTTCAAAGGGGAAAAAAATTGCAATGGTTTAGACACACTGGTACAAAATAGGTTGGGTGACATCATGCATGTGGGAAATGCCAGGAGTTTTATATTGGGAAAGAGGAAATCTGGAATTGTAATGCTTATTTTTGAGACTTACAGCCAGTTCTCATGTGTTTCACATCTTAGCTTGGTAGGAAGCCATGCAAACACAATGATTTTGTTTGGGCAATTTTGGGCAGTCCTAGAGGCAGCGTCCGTAGGGTGGCCCATGCAACACCTAGGTGCAATTTGCTTCCAATTGCAGGTGTTGATTATCACCTTTAAAAAGGAGCACGGTAGTAGCTCACGTGGTTAGGTTGCTGGGTAGGAGGTTAGCAAGTCTGCGTTCGAGACCCGAGTGCTGCTGTGGGGAGGGGTGAGCTCCTGACCTTCGTTCCAGCTCCTTCTGGGGATGTGAAGGGAGCCCTCCTGGGCGTCTCCTGGGCAACAGTGTTGTCACCGGATCGTCCTTTCATCCCAGAAATATTGCACTGCACTGCTTCCAACACAAGTGCAATGCGATGCGATCACCTGTGAAGCTCTTCATTGCATGGAAACAGGATACCCGAGGAACTGTCTCGTCTCAGTGACATTGATCCAGGTGTTAAGGCCTGGCATGGCCAATTTACACAGGGATCTAAGAGTATGATGCAGCCCTGGGCTGTCAGGTGGACTGAGGACCCTCCTGCTCCCTTGTTAACCTCATAGCCTTTGGAATTTTAATCTGTTTTATTTTTACTGATCAGTTTTAATCTGCCTTTAATTTCTGCATTTAAGCTATGCTTTTCCTGTGTATTTATACGGTTTTATTATGCTGTTGTAAACTGCCTAGACGCAGGGGTAGGCAACCTCGGCTCTTTTATGACTCGTGGATTTCATCTCCCAGAATTCCTGAGCCAGCCATGCTGAGGGAAAAGGGAGAAGTTTCCATGCTGAGCCATGCTGGCTCAGGAATTCTGGGAGTTGAAGTCCACGAGTCATAAAAGAGCCGAGGTTGCCTACCCCTGGCCTAGAGTGACTTAGATGAGATGGGTGAGGTAGAAATTTAATATAGGTAGTCCTCGACTTAACAAACCATTCATATAGTTACCACTCAAAGTTACGACGACACTGAAAAAAGTGAGTTATGATTTTTTTTTTCAAACTTATGACTGTTGCAGCATCGCCATGGCCACGTGATCAAAATTCAGATACTTGGCAACTGATTGATAGTTACGATGATTGCAATGTCTCGGGGGTCATGTGACCCCCCCTTTTGTGACCTTCTGACACGCAAAGCCCGTGGGGAAGCTGGATTCACTTAACAACCGTGTCACTAACTTAGTAACTGCAGCCCTTCACTTAACGATTGTGGCAAGAAAGGTTGTAAAATGGGGTAAAAACTCAACAAATGTCTCACTTAATGACAGAAACCTTGGGCTCAGTTGTGGTTGTAAGTTGAGGACTTCCTACAATTAAATAATAATAATAATAATAATAATAATAATAATAATAATAATAATAAAGTTGGAAGGGACCTTGGAGGTCATCTAGTCCAACCCCCTGCTCAGGCAGGAAACCCTATACCATTTCAGACAAATGGCTGTCCAGTCTCTTCTTAAAAACTTCCAGTGTTGGAGCATTCACTGCTTCTGGAGGCAGGTTGTTCCACTGGTT